CCCCATGGTGACTGGCATGTGCATTTTTTGTGACCTTGTGAATGAAGAGCTTGAAAGAAACTCCATCTGAAGATGAATGTGCAGAGACCCTGACTAAGGAGCTGATTCAATTGTCAGACCACTGCAGGGAGTAACGTGTTGCTATCTTTTTGTCTTAGTCAGCTATCATCTCTTTTATAGGCTCTTTCTCCAGCTACCTCACCTCCCACCCCAGCATTCTAGAGTGTGACTACACAGCGAGCCTGTGCTCATGGGGCACAGCCTAACAGAGCATCTAATAGGCTCTGGTCATAGATCTCTCCCATCTCCCAGCACTTTCTTTTCTTTTCCTTTTTTTTTTTTTCTTTTGAGACAGGGTCTCATCACCCAGGCTGGAGCCCAGTGGTGAGATCACAGCTCACTGTAAGCTTGAACTCATAGGCTCAAGTGATCCTCCTACCTCAGCCTCACAAGTAGCTTGGAGCACACATACCTGCCACCATACCCAGCAAATTTTTTTATTTTTTGCAGAGATGGGGGTATCACTATGTTGCCCAAGCTGACCTCAAATTCTTGGGCTCAAGTGATCTATCTGCCGCAGTCTCCCAAAGTGCTGAATTACGGGGATAAGCCACCATGCCCTGTTCTCCCATTACTTTCTGATTATTTATCATGTACTTCTGGAACATAATCCCTTTAATTCTTCATGTTTATAAAACAACCTGAAATCATAAAGGTCCTTGACATACATCTCTATTCTGGACTGTCTCTCTCACCTAATGAAAGATGTAGTCTTAAACAGAAGGTGTTTTTAAGATCAGGCAGGATGGCTCATGCCAGCATTCTGGGAAGCCAAGGTGAGAGTATCACTTGAGGCCAGGAGTTCAAGACCAATCTGAGCAACACAGCAAGATCTCATCTCTACTGAAAATACACATTTTTTCTTTTTCTTTTTTTTGAAATGGAGTCTTCCTCTGTAGTCCAGGTTGGAGTAAAGTGACGTGATCTCAGCTCACCGCAACCTCCACCTCCCGGGTTCAAGGGATTCTCCTGGCTCAGCCTCCTGAGTAGCTGGGACTACAGGCACCTGCCACCATGCCCAGCTAATTTTTTTTTTTTTCTTGAGATGGAGTTTCACACTTGTTGCCCAGGCTGGTGTACAATGGTATGATTTTGGCTCACCTCAACCTCTACCTCCCAGGTTCAAGAGATTCTCCTGTCTCAGCATCCCAAGTAACTGGGATTACAGGCATGTACTACCATGCCCAGCTAATTCTGTATTTTTAGTAGAGACGAGGTTTCTCTATGTTGGTCAGGCTGGTCTCAAACTCCCAACGTCAGGTGATCTGCCGGCCTTAGCCTCCCAAAGTGGCTCCCACAGTGGGTGTGAGCCACTGTGCCCAGACTAATTTTTGTATTTTTAGTAGAGACGGGGTTTCATCATGTTGGCCAGGCTGGTCTTGAACTCCTGATCTCAAGAGACCCACTCACAGGATTATAAGCAATCTTTATTTTCATGCTTTTCTAAGTTTTCTAAATTTGTTTCTGATTATACAGAAAATAAGTGTTATTTATCTAAAGCAATATATCACATACACAGATAAACTATAATATCTGTCCCAACATACTCTCTCTCTAATATATGTATACTATATGTGTATATATGTATATCATATATATGTATATTAGAGAGTGCTGGGACAGATGTTGTAGTTATCTGTAATATATCTATATAGTTTATGTGTGTATCCATGTATATATACGTACACACGGTATACATATAAACTCAACATAATGACACCTGTCTCTAAATACACATATATATAATATCCCATCTCTAAATGTATATATACATACATATACACATACGTATATAGAGAGAGAGATTGAGGTTTCACTATGTTGCCCAGGCTGGTCTTAAACCCCTGGACTCAAGCAATTCACTCACCTCGGCCTCCCAAAGTGCTGGGACTACAGGTGCATGCCATCATGCTCAGCTAATTTTTTATTTTTTAATTTTTTATAGAGAAGGGGCGTCTCCCTATGTTGCTCAGGCTGGTCTCAAATTCCTGGGCTCAAGCAATTCTCCTGCATCAGTCTCCCAAAGCTCTGGGATTACAGTAGTGAGACACACAGCCCACAGCCTATTTGTAACAGAACTGAGTTCTATTTCACAAGGCCAGAACATGTTACTATTTTAAAAGTTCTATTTCACAAGGCCAGAACATGTTACTATTTTAAAGCTTTACCCAAAGTATCAAGAATTTTTGCCAGACTATTTTTAAGCCTTAATATTAAAAAGTGATTCATAATTATATTTCTAAAGCTCAACTTCTTATCTATAATTATATTTATGTATGGAAAAAATCTCAAATGATATATGCCAAAATATTAACACTGGTGAAATAACAGGTGATTTTTATTTATTCACTTTTTGGTGTTTTCTCATTTATTTTGTAACAAGTATACAATCTTTTACATTCTAATTTTCTTACTGTGGGGGAAGGTGCTGATTTTGATGAAAATTAATATTTCTACACTTCGGGGCAGGAGCATATGTATACATATGCTATTTCTGGAGTTCCTCACCTCGAATTTTACTGTCACCCTCTCTCAAATGTTTTTCTTCTTGGCAAATTATATGAAATACTAACAGTAATCAAGCTCTACTGGTTCAACCTAGGATCCAAATCATAACTGAAGTTAGATCAAATTAAAAACAACCAAACCCAAACTTGACTGTCACTATTTATTAAAAAATAACGTAACTTCTTGTTTTAGAGGAAAGGAACCATCGCCTACAGTGAATGACTCACTAGGCTGATTATGTTGTATATATAAAGTACCAAATAGTTATTACAAGAGGTGTTTGGGACTGAGATTCAGAAATCTATAACTATACTATGAGCCTGACTCTTTCAAGGTGAGGCTCACCAGTTCTGCCAAGGAACCTCAGCTTTGGGCAACTAATTCCTTACAACATTTCAGCTCTGGACATATCCAGGTGGGAAAGAATGGGCAATGGATTCAGAAAGAACAGAATTCTTCTTTCTTTTTTATTTTTTTTGAGATGGAATTTCGGTCTTGTTGCCTACACTGGAGTGCAATGGTGCCAGCTCAGCTCACTGCAACCTCCGCCTCCCAGGTTCCAGCAATTCTCCTGCCTCAGCTTCCCAAGTAGTGGAAATTATACGCATGCACCACAACGCTTGGCTAATTTTTCGTATTTTTAGTAGAAACAGGGTTTCACCATGTTAGCCAGGTTGGTCTCAAACTCCTGATCTCAGGTGATTCGCCCACCTTGGCTTCCCAAAATGCTGGGATTACAGGCATGAGCCACAGTACCCAGCTGGGGTTTTTCAATCCCAACCATTCAACGTTAAGTTATAAAACTTAATTCTTAATTTCGTGACCTCTAACACAGGAATAAGAAAAATCATCTAGTAATATTGCTCTAAATATTGGAGATACTGTATGTTTAGTGGGTAGCCTGTAGTAGGTACTCAAATTATTTTAACTGGTTTGCTTATAATATTTCTTTCTTCTGATGCTAATGCTTAGAGATTCCATTGTACTTAACATAAAATGCATATTTGAAAATAACTGTTTGCTGGTGGGTATACAGATTGGCCAAATACTGGAAGCTAGGACACTGCCAGCAACCTCCTTTCCTGCTAGTATCATCTGGGTCTACTTCATGTCACTTTTGTTACTGCTGTGGCATCTATCCCAAAAGTAAGAGGGTCAGGCTGCCCAGCTTATAAGGTTTCCATTTCCATGCATTTATTTCTTACTCCCATGGTTTTTTTTTTTTTTTCTGAGACAGTCTCACTCTGTTGTCCCAGCTGAAGTGCAGTGGTGTTATCTCAGTTCACTACAACCTCTGCCTCCCAGGTTCAAGCAATCCTCCCACTTCAGCCTCCTGAGTAGCTGGGATTACAGGCATGTGCCACTATGCCCAGCTAATTTTTGTATTTTTAGTAGAGACAGGGTTTCACTACATTGGCCAGACTGGTCTTGAACTCTTGACTTCAGGTGATTGACCAGCCTCAGTCTATCAAACTGTTGGGATTCTAGGCGTGAGCCACTGTGCCTGGCCCTTAGTCCCATTTCTTTCAGGACCAGCCAACAGATAAAGTTGGTAGATGGAGAACTGCCGGTTCATTTTATTGATTTTCAAACTGGCAACAGAGCTGATGCAAAAGCAGACTAGGAAGAATATTTTCATTTAGGAAAATACTAATGAGTCAAGTTGAATTTTTCATTTCCAAACAGAAATCCAAGAGAAATCTGCATATTGTATTATTAACAATTTAGCCTTTTCTCTTAGGGAAACATTTTACTGTCAAGAAATCTATCCTCCATCTGCCCCTCTCCTATCTTCTCTGTGGTAAAGGAGCAACCCTCCATTTGCCACCTGTGACAAATGCGGTTTTCAATATCATGTGAGGAAAAGAGATCTTAATCACAAAGAGACAGCTCTATCCAGTAACCTACAATCATAAAACGGGTACCTGGCAGGCAATTTCTGAACATGATAGCAAATCATTGTTATTATTATTATTTTTTTTGGAGATGGAGTCTCACCTTGTTTCCCAGGCTGGAGTGCAGTGACATAATCTCGACTCACTGCAACCTCCACCTCTGGAGTTCAAGCGATTCTCTTGCCTCAGCCTCCCGAGTAGCCGGGATTACAAGCGTGCACCACCACGCTTGGCTAGTTTTTGTATTTTCAGTAGAGATGAGGTTTCACCATGTTGGCCTGCTGGTCTCAAACTCCTGACCTCAAATGATCTCCCAGCCTCAGTCCCTCAAAGTGCTGGAATTACAGGTAGAGCCACTGTGCCCATGACCAATGACTGCAAATCATTTTAAATGAACTTGATCCAATGACCAAACCAACAGTAAGAACTCATTATTAGCTATAATAAGCGATCCACTTCTACAAGACCACCACCACAGAAAAGGAAACACTGCAGAGATCCTGTACAGAGACTCCTTGTTGCTTGTACAGTCCTTACCTGACAGTCAAAGTCCTGGAAGTTTTGTGTACCATTCTGTCAACAGAATACAGAAAACACAGTCAGTTTTCCCATATGGTTTCCCACATGTGCAGCAAATTCAGTTCACAGTGAAAGCAGTACATGTATATCCTCTTGGTTGCCATAAAACTAGAATGGTTCTCATCAGAAGGTTTCAGAGGCAGGGTGGGTTATGAACATGTGTTAATAAAGGTTAAATCTTCAGAAGTGAGATTATGCTTTAGTAAGCTTACTGGGAAGATAAAGGGAAGGGGTTTAGTTTTCTAGCAAGCTTATAACTTCTTGCCTTCGTACCTAAGGAGAGCAGTGAGAATGTGTAGGAAGACAGTAAAACCTGGATCACAGTCTAGAAGCACACCTTGAACACACAAAGTGAAGTAGCTGGGAGGAAAGGAGCTGGAAGCCAATGTAGAGAAGGGCGAAGGAGACCAGGTGTGAGGGTGCTCAGAACTGGGAATTAAAGAAAGGATTAGGAAGAGGACAAAGACACGGATGGATCAGAAATTGAAGTCTTGAAATCTAACAGAGAAGAAAGACAATGTCACTGAAGAAGGGAAAGACAGACAAAACAAAGATCTTAATACACTGGCCTATCTGTTGCATCCTATGAAATCACTGACAGGGAAAACGGATAAGTCACTGAATCATTTAAAAAGTAAGACACAGTCAAAAAATCCAAGGAGAATTCACCAAGCTTCTAAAAAGGATTATAATAATGACTGATTGAGAAAAAAAAAAAATCAATGGCAATAATTCAGAAGCATTTCTGTTGCATTCCATATGTCAGAATTGCAAGTCATAAGAGTATAAAAAAGGGGCAGTGGCTCATGCCTGTAATACCAACACTTTGGGAGGCTGAGGAAGGCCAATCACCTGAGATCAGAAGTTTGTGGGCAGCCTGGCCAACATGGTGAAACCCTGTCTCTACTAAAAATATAAAAATGAGCCAGGCATGGTGGTGTGCACCTGTAATCTCGGCTACTCAGGAGGCTGAAGCAGGAGAATTGCTTGAACCCAGGAGGCAGAGGTTGCAGTGAGCCAAGATTGTGCCACCATACTCCAGCCTGGGTGACAGAGTGAGACTCTATCTCCAAAAAACAAAAAAAGGTAACAAGTAATGTATTTGGGAAAAAAGAAAAGAAAACTTCTATTTGGTTTTTCACAAAGTGTAACCCCTTTCCTGAAAAAAGGCTCCCATTATGTAGAAACTGATTTATCATGACTATTTATTCTATCTCTACAATGACTTCCAGAAGGTTCCTAACAGCTTCCCCAAACTCCCCCTCCAGAAATGCTCTAGATATCTGATCCCCAGGAAATACTAAGTAGTCCCATTCCCCTTCAACAAGATCCTCCTAGAAATAATTCTTTGGGGCTGGGCATGGTGGCTCATGTATCACTTGAGGACTGGAGTTCAAGACCAGCCTAGCCAACATGGTGAAACCTGTCTCTACTAAAAAACTACAAAAATTAGCTGGACATGGAGGCAGGTGCCTGCAATCCCAGGTACTCAAGAGGCTGAGGCAAGAGAATTGCTTGAACCTGGGAGGCGGAGGTTGCAGTGAGCCGGTATTGAGCCACTGTGCTCCAGCCTGGGTAACTGAGACTCCATCTCAAAAAAAGAAATAGTTCTTCAAGATCCCACCAACTCCACTGGCAGGACCGAACAGAGAGGTTAAAAAGCACAGCCCAGGCCAGGCATGGTAGGTCACACCTATATTCCTAGCACTTTGAGAGGCCAAGATGGGCGGGTCACCTGAGGTTGGGAGTTGGAGACCAGCCTGGCCAACATGGAAAAACCCCTGTCCCCCCCGTGTCTACTAAAAATACAAATTAGCCAGGCATGGTGGTGCATGCCTGTAATCCAAGCTACTTGGAAGGCTGAGGCGGGAGAATCACTTGAACCCCGGAGGCGGAGGTTGGGCTAAGCCGAGATCCTGCCATTGCACTCCAGCCTGTGTAACAAGAGCGAAACTCCATCTCAAAAAAAAAAAAAAAAAAAAAAAAAAAGCCACAGCCCAGTGTGGTTCAAACACCCAAAGAAACAAACTATCTACTCCTTAAGTGAAACTAGTAGATCCCACTGGGACTACCTAGAGCTGCACTATCCAGTATGGTAGCCATTAGCCGTATGTACAATTTAAGTTTAAATTCAATCCAACAAAAGTCTTGGTTTCTCAGTTCCATTAGCCAGATCTCAAGTGCTCACACTCTACTCTTGGGCAGTATGGACACAGAACATTTCCACTGATGCAGAAACTTCTACTGGACAGCACTCATCTGGAAGCCAAAAGCTTTTGAAGGAATAAGGTTATGAATCAGCAGCCCTTGTCTTTCTAAAGGTGGCAGTAACGTTACAACAGATTACCAATCATAGAGACTGCAGATGCCACTGAGAATGGGCAAGAGAATGGTAGAGACCGTAGTCTAAAGTATTATTCCCAATAAGAAAGTGAATTCACAAAAAGTCTGATGCAGTCACGGCATGGAAAGACAACTAAGATACTGTGCAGATGGGACTGGGCAGCACATTTCCTAGGAATGTTGCTATTGATTAAAAGGAACATAGTGTTCCATGGCTCCCACTGGCCCCATGAAATGTCTGAGGACTTCTTCAGACAAATCATTGTGTTTAGTTTACACATAGACTACGAGAAGCAAAAGGAAGGGCCCCCTCATGGATTAGGACAGATGGTTTTAGCAGGATATAAATGGCCAGCCAGTGAGTTTCTGGTTCCTGATTCAACTTGCACCTTCCTCCAAATATACCACAGGGCCTGATATAAATCAGGTGCTTGATAGAGATTTATAAAATGAATAAGCCAACATAAAAAAATTAAATGTTGAGGAAATTCTGTTAAAACTTTGGGTCAAAAAAAACCAACTACATTCCAACTTAAGATATGATATGGTTGTAAGAGGGAAAAGAAAGTAGGGTACAAAATAGTCCTTACAGTTTGACCTTGGCTACATTAAAATATGCATTAAAAAAGACCGGGCATTGTGGCTCATGCCTATAATCCTAGCACTTTGGGAGGCTGAGGTGGGAAGATCACTTGAGCTCAGGAGTTCAGGACCAGCATAGGCAATATGGCAAAACCCCATCTCTACAAAAAATGCAAAAAAAATTAGCCGGGCATGGTGTTGCATGCTTATAGTCTCAGCTACTTGAGGGGCTGAGGCAGGAGGATCACTTGAGCCTGGGAGGTTAAGGCTGCAGGGAGTCGAGATCACACCACTGCACTCCAGCCTAGGTGCAAAGTGAGATCCTGTCTCATAAATAAATGAAACACGAAAACATTAACAATAGCAGCTGTTTCTGCATAGCGAGATTACGGGTGATTATAATTTCTTCATATTACCTACAATGAGTATGTACTTCCCTTTCTGAAATTAGAAAACGAGGAAAAAAAAGGGTCTAGAAAACCCTAGAAAAAAATACCAAATTTAGTATTTTGTAATATAAGATTTAAAGGGCCAGGTGCGGTGGCTCATGGCTGTAATCCCAGCATTTTGAGAGGCTGAGGTGGGCGGATCATGAGGTCAGGAGTTCAAGTCTAGCCTGGCCAACATGGTGAAACCCTGTCTCTACTAAAAATACAAAAATTAGCTGGACATGGTGGCATGTGCCTGTAATCCCAGCTATTCGGGAGCCTGAGGCAGGAGAACTGCTCGAACTGCGACCTGACAGGCAGAGGTTGCAGTGAGCCAAGATTGCGCTACTGCAATCCAGCCTGGGATACAGAGCAAGACTCTGTTTCAAAAAAACAAAACAAAACAAAACAAAAAAATAAAAATTAACCGGGCATGGTGGCACAGGTCTGCAGTCCCAGCTACTCGGGAGGCTGAGTCAGGAGAATCATTCGAACCAGGGAGGCAAAGGTGCAGTGAGCCGAGATAGTGCCATTGCACTGAAGCCTGGGCAACAGAGCAAGACTCTGTCTCAAAAAAAAAAAAAACACAAAAAGATTTAAAGATTGACCTAGGCCGGGCGCGGTGGCTCAAGCCTGTAATCCCAGCACTTTGGGAGGCCGAGGCGGGTGGATCACGAGGTCAAGAGATCAAGACCATCCTGGTCAACATGGTGAAACCCCGTCTCTACCAAAAATACAAAAAATTAGCTGGGCATGTTGGCACGTGCCTGTAATCCCAGCTACTCAGGAGGCTGAGGCAGGAGAATTGCCTGAACCCAGGAGGTGGAGGTTGCGGTGAGCCGAGATCGTGCCATTGCACTCCAGCCTGGGTAACAAGAGCGAAACTCCGTCTCAAAAAAAAAAAAAAAAAAGATTGACCTAAACTTCTGAGGAACTATTTATAATGATCTCTCTCTAAACAGACCATATTAGAACTTCAATCTAACAGAATTTCCAAAGGTTTCTTTAGCAATTATTTAGAAAGATTAGAGAAAATCACTCAAGCCTGAATTAAAATCTCAGTCATATAATACAGAGCCACATATTCTGATGAGCTCTTTGGGAAGCATCTGTCACTGTATGCATGAATTCTCCTTCCTTAGAATCATGTGACCATGACCATGAGGCATTGTGTAAAGCCCTCAGTGCCTGACATGAGCACAAAGGGGCATGCCAAAAACAGAAAGGCAATACCCTCAAGAACCTCAAGCTATGTCTTACTTGTTGAGTACCTAGCAGAAAAAACTCTGTTCTCAATCCCATGTACACAGCTATACACCCAAATAAAAGGTACCAATAACTGAGCGAAGACTGCTTAGCATTTGTTTTCCTTGTGTGTGTCAGGTAGGGTGGCATATACCTGTAGTCCCAGCTACTCAAGTAGCTGAAGCAGGAGGATCACTTGAGCCTGGGATGTCGATGCTGCAGTGAGTTGTGATTACATGACTGCATTCCAGGCTGCATTCCAGGTTTTTTTTTTTTTTGAGAGAGAGAGACAGAGAGAAAGAGAGAGAGAGAGAGAGAGAGAGGTCCGAGACTCTCTTGGAGAACTGCTTCTAGCTTCATGAGTAATCACCCTGGAAAATGGGAATGACTGAGTCT